AACTTGGTTTCACCGGAGGTTGTGAGGGGTTGACTTGGAGCTGTGGTTGTAGGTTTGTACGAATAGGTCCTCGGCGCACCACCCTGTGACCCCGATCAGTCGTTGCTGAGCCTTCGGCCATCATGTGACGGACATCGTCGGAGCAGGACGCCATGCCTTATTATAACTTTTCGTATTTAAGTAGAGTTTCAAGACTACCAATTAATCAGTCAAGCTCACATTCTGCACTGTCACAGTTCGACTCCCGCTGGGGGTGTTGATAAGACCGATGCGAGGTCGAAACTGCAGTCCACTGGTGCCTGGATGAGAACAACTTCTGGGAAAGCAAGACTATGTGAAATTCAATGGAAACGTGAGCTTAACTCATATCATTGTGGGAAAATTATACTACCAGTCCTTCGTCACCTTAAACGAAATAGGGAAATACATCTCATATTACTTATTATAATTCACCAAAAACACGACGGCAAGAAAGGTGGCCGGCTTCAAACCTACCTATTTCTTATAGTCCACTTTGGTCGACTTAAGCATTTCATGTTTTGTTTGGTTGTACTATGTTTTGCTTCTATATTTTCTCATAAGTTAAGTTAAGTGGCTGCGGATGAAGCGTGAAACTGGTACAATTGTGACCTAAAAGTTGCATCGTCCCCTAATATACTTATGCCTTTAATCCTGCTATGTTACTGCATATGGTTTCGTTCCACTGTAAGCATGTTGTAGGAAGGCGATAGAAATCAGCAAAACGGCCAACACTCTGAATGGGAAAAATGAGAGTAAAAAGTTAAGTGTAAACTACTTGTGGCTGTTGGATAGGATCATAGAGAGAGAGAGAGAGAGAGTGGGGGGGGGTACCACCGAGCAAAAGGAGGCTTGATGGGGCTCGAATCTGGTTTTGACTTTCACATCACACTAATTTCCATAGCAATGCATTCACACAGCACACGTGCAATAAAACGCAATCACATGCGGTAACACAGCAGGATCAAAGGCATAAATGCTTTAGGGGAGGATGGAATTGTTCGGTCACAATTGCACCAGTTTCAAGCTTCATCCGCAGCCGCTTAACTTAACTTTTGAGCAAATATTTAGGCAAGGCATAGGGTATCCAACCAAGATATGAGATGCCTAGGTCGACCAAATTGATCTATAAGAAGTTAATCGTACTCTCGGAGACTACTAATAAAAACCCAACAGTTAAAATCAAAGGACAACTACAAGAAATTCTGATGGAAATGAATAGGAGCAGGGAGATAGACAAATGGACAATGAATTCACTCACACGAAAGGATGCAAGAGCTCCAATAGCATACGGTTGGCCAAAGGTACACAAAGAAGAAGAACTATTGAGACTGATAATCAACAAAAAACATGGACCGACAGACAAATTGGCGAAATTTAACTGCCTCAAATTAAAGAAAGTGAATGACAGATTATCGAATACAGTGAAGAACTCATACAAATTTTGTCAAATAATCAAAGACGCAAGTTTGGAAAGAAACGAACTTTTGGTGAGCCTTGATGTACAGTCCACTTGCATTAACAATACAGGAGAAAAAGCACTTACCGCACTACTGGAGATGCTGGAAAAACGAAAATGGCATCCGAATGCTTAGAGAGCCTCTAACCCGATTAATCAACCTAGCAATAAGAACCACCTATTTCACGTTCAACGGCTGCATCTATGAGCAAATATGTGGTTTGTCTATGGGCTCACTACTCTCACCTCTGTTGGCTAATGTGCTCATGGATAAGTTGGAGAAGGATTTCAAAATGTCATCCCAGCAGCCAACAATAATTATGCGATATTTGGATGACTACTTCGCAATTTGGTCGGATGGGAGACAAAAACTAAATGATTTTCCAATCTTCATAAATGAAGCAGATGACAAAGTCACATTTACCATGAAGATAACTCGCTCCGAGAAAGCTCTCAAGAAAAAACTTTTCCGAAAAAATCGCATGCTGGAATAACTCTTAACTTTGAGTTTAACCATATTTATGGGAAGAGGATTGCAATACTCCGGAGTGTGTTCATAAGAAGCCTCCGACTAACTGATTCTGAACTGGGAGAGCTAACTCTAGTGTTTTTTTGGAAATGGATATCCAGAAGAAACAACACAACACAACATACGGATGGTGATGAACAGATGGAAGGACGGAGATTATGAAAGGAAAACAAGTGGAGCATAAGAAAAACGATGGATATGTCTACCCTACTGCGAATTGGCTCGGAAGCTACGGCCAGTACATTCCTACATTCTTGAATAAAAGAGAAACCCTCCTCACCAGCTTGCCCACACAACATGACGGAGTCAACAAAATGGAGTCCCCCAGTGTTTACAGCATAAACTACAAGGACTGTGAACAAAAATACATCGGAGAGACGGGAAGGACAATCAGCACAATAATCAAAGAACCCCAGCGACTATGCAGAGAAATTGATACGGAAAGATCGGAGATAGCTGAACACATCGCCATTACCGGCCACACAATTGACTGGCCTCATATGGGGACCAGGACAACCGTTCAACAGCAATAAGAGGCATCACCAAAGAAAGACTAATGAAGTCAAGAAAAGGCGACTTCAGTTACGCGGTATCTACCAAGAATATTTACTCAGGGGATTCACCTGTGAGATGTAGGATATGAAATAAAAGGCTATACGTTTATTTGGGCTAGATAAAGGTAGCCAGTCTGTGTGTGTGTGTGTGTGTGTGCAGACGTTGTACGTAATTTTTATTTCTGTGTCTGAAAGTGAGGTGATTGTTGACATGTTTGACCACGGGGGACATTAGATAATACACACAAGCACACACACATGCACACACATACACAGGGGTACAGCATCCCAGTACCCTAGGATTAGATGGCAATGTGAACTTGAGAAACGAGAGGAGTGTGCTTTTCGTCATTTAAGGGATAAAGGGGAAGTGGGGCATTCTCACACCAGCGGTTATAACTTAAGCCGGACACAGTGCCTTAAATAAAGAGACACAATGTGGGTGGGGGTGAGGGAGAAGATACTCGAGTCATGGGTTTGAAGCCTGGGGATAGTAAGAATCCCAGGCACTAGCATTTTCATGTGCACGGACATGGGTATCATCTGCTCTAAATCCCCGAACATGTTGTAATAGGGGATGAGAATAGAGGCCTCTTAGGCATCCAGATTTCAGACAGCCAAATAGTGATTTGGATCGTTGATAGGAAGACCAAGATGGTGTGGCCCCGGTATGATTTTGATGTCTAGCAGCGGCCAATTCGCAAGCTGGGGGTGGAAAGGAGCAGAATGAAAGTCAGGAGCCCTGAGATGATTACGCTTTCCTAAACCCACTTGTAGCGACACACTCTTAGGCGACATTGAAGGAAATGACAGGACAGAATTGTGTGAATAAGTGGGGTTGAGGGAAAGAGATACGACACTAGAAGGTAAAAAAATAGAGACGAATGATGCTACAGCGGTTGAACAGAAAATTGGTCAAAGGGACCATTGGCTGGGTACATTCCCAAACGTTTCGCCGGCATCGTCAATGAGAGTAGCTATCGTGAGCACAGAGTTACAACTCATCAGTGACAAGTAACTCTGTCCTTACGATAACGCCTCTCACTGACGATGCCGGCGAAACGTTTAAGAATGTACTCAGCCAATGGTCCAATGCTAGAAATCACGAATATTATGGCAGAGGACACGGGACTAGGTACGTTCCACAAGGTCTCCCTGATGCTCCGACGAAGTTGAGAAAACAACGTTGAACCAATACTATATGAAGTAGGTTTGAAACCGGGCACGTTTCTTGCCTCCGTGATTTTGGTGAATTATCGTTAATCCTGGTGCCCTTCTATGACGCTGTTTGTCATATGACGGACGAAAGCTCAGCAAGGATTAATCGGGGTCGCAAGGTGGTGCGCCGAGGACCTATCCGCACAAATATGCTATCACAGCTCAAAGGCGATCCCCCCAATATACTAATCCATTCCACTCGCCTATTCAAACGAGATGAAAGATTTTCTTCGAAACCCAGTTCTTCCATACATATATAAAGTGATTTTATCCTCTGGTGTGATCGACCTTCGAATACCATTATCAAACGATTTCCCTTAAAATAGAATTAAACTCAACAATTACGAATATATGTGTTGCCTTCACCCTATTTGGTTTAAGGTGATGAAGGACTGGTATTTGAATTTTCCCATGATTATACGCATAGACATTACGCATAGTCTAGCAAGCAAGCTAGCGAATACTTAACAATTAACCATATACAGCCCAATATTATGGCTATAGGATAAACTTTCAAATAGAACAGGACTTTTTTAATCCGTTATTGCAACAACTCTATTTCAAGCAGAGATCTTTAGCCCTACTCTGCTGGATTAAGTAAATATATAACTCCTGGTAGACCGAGAAATGTGTCAAGTACATATATTTTAATTATTAGAAAATATAGTGACAATAGCCTTTTGTGGACTTATGTTCAGTAAACATTAGACATAATCTAGTGAAAATTATATGAATATGATATTTTAGGAACAGGCATCTAAGGATCCATATTTTTAAAGTTAA